AATTGGAAAGTGTAGATAAAATGAGAAACTACCTTCTCAATATCTTAACATAAAGCCAATCAAAAGTATTGACTTCATTTTCTACTCCTTGCTCCTTTGCCATTCCTTTTTCCAGGTGCCCCTGAGCACCCCAAAAATTTCGTAGAGAAATCTTGTTCCACAAAGATGATCTAGACAAAAGAGAGATGGAAAAGTTCCAGGCTTTTCTAAATTCTCTGAAAAATAAAATACCCGCTCCGCTGGCATTGTATCAGCAGAAAAACAAAGGGAAACTGAAACTTGGTTAACTTGTAAGTTAGGTTTTTCCCTAACCAAAACAGAGACAGCTCAACTTTCCAGACCCCTCCACTCCTGCAGGGTAAATGCCAGGTAGGGATCAAAAACACAATGTGTATGCTGACAAAAAGGATCTTGCTTATTGTAGCAACACTTTCTCCACCTCTATCTATCTCCTTTTTCTTGAGAACACAGTTTTACACTTGTCCTTCATACAAATAACCCGAGGGTGGGAATTATTCAGAAGGCTCGTGTTTGACACCCCATCTGTTCATTTCTGACAGCGATATATAATGTAAGGCTATAAAAACTTGAAAAATAATGCAACATAAAAAGGGATTGACTCGGCTCCAAGAGGCCATAAACGGTAACAAATACCATTGTATGATTTATTTCATGCTGTAATCTTTACAGTAAGTCATCTTTCAGACATTTCCTTGTGACAGGTTTTAATAATATTAATGCCCAGAGCAATCCAAATCATCGCCAATAGACATATTTATCAAGCTGCCAATCCAAGTAAATGAAATTCTATAAGCAATAATGTAACATGTTTAAAGGAAGCTAATAAAACAAGTCAGCAGAGAAATATTACTGCAAAGTATTCTCTCTCTAATCCGACCCTGGATTTTATACAGCCAAAATGCAAATCTTTCCCTCCATGATTTATCGCTCCAAAAATACCGATGACCTTTTCGCGAGCTCCTGCACAGCCCCTCGCTCACATTCATAAAGATCGTGATGCATTCTGCCAGATTAACTGAATGCTGGAGTGCTTAGCATTATTGCTTTGTTTTGCCTTGCCTTTGGGTTGGGATGAGATGGTTAGCATCAAAGAGCGAGACTTTAATTCCTTTAGATTTATTAAAGACTGACAAGCCCCAACTTAGGCTTGGCAACCCAGCAGGTATTTATGAGCAATTATCCAGATACTAGATAAATTTCAATTAAAGAAAGAACTAACATTTGCTTTTTAACCTGGCTTTCACTTTCATCTAATTCAGTTTTTATTAATCCTTTGCTTGGGTAAATGAACTCTCATCCAGGACAAAAATGGGAATGAGACAGCACGGTGCAGCAGCCACATGGGGCCTGGTGCACACACATTCTTTTGTACCTAGCTAGTAACTTAACAGGAATGAAAAACAAAAGTCAACAACTCAGCAAAATATACACTATTAAATTTGTCACGCCTCGGGCCAGAATGCGTGGAAAAGCCATGACTAGCAAGGCAAGTGTATTGATGGAAGGACTCATAAGTGGTCGAAGAACTCAAACAGGCTTCTTTTCATTCACTTCAAACCAACTTTATAGGACTCCTTTTGTTAAATGGTGCTAATAAAGTCACTTTCCTTGATATACAGACTCATTTCTTGGGAATTTCTTTTAGGTGGGCAATAACATGGATATGAATTTTGTGTGTGCTGTTGGAGGGAAGACAGCTTTAATCAAAATCCTGCATGCAACTAAAAATGTAAGCAAATTTGGGACACTGTAGTCTTATAACTTTGCCCCACTCCTCCCAAACAGACCAGGTTGGGGTGTTCTGAATGCATTTTGATGGGGGAGAGGGAAAAATCAACCATCTCTAACCCTATTTAAAAAAAAAAAAAATCTAGATGCACTCAGTCACCTCTACCCCCATAAAAAGAAATAAAATAAGAATTCTTGATGTATATTTGGGGGGGGGGGGGGG